AAGACAAACAAGCAGGCTTGGGGGGCCCCAGCCCTGGGGGGGGGCCCCCACAGGGGCCCCCCAGCGCTGCACCCGCTTCTGCTGCGAGGGTCATAGAAAACAAAAGCAGAGGGGGAGGAGGATGTGTTTGTTGTTTTTTGTTTTTTATAAACCCTTTCGCTGAGGCTGTAGAAGGCAGACAGGCGGAGCTGCTGCTGCTGCGGTGCTGCAGGTGTTGTGCTGCTCGCGGTCTGTACCCAGATATGGCTAGCTGTGGCTAGCTAGCTAGCCACTTTGACCTAGTAGCTAGCCAGCTAGCTGCTTATATGCATGCACACGCTGCTGTGGGGCTGGCTGACGCCAAAAAAAAAAAAAAAACCTCACCGACATTCTAAACCCTAAACCCTCAACAGCTGCTCCTCCATCTCTACCTATTTCTGTTTGTTTATATCTCCCATTGCCTGCATCTGTCTCTGTCTGTCTCGCTCTGTCTCTCTTTCTCTCTTTCTGTATGTGTCTCGGTTTGCTTCTGTATTTGTCTGTCTCTCACACACAAGTTCCTTAGCTAGCTAGCTAGCTAGCTAGCTACGGCGAGTCAGCTAGCTAGCTAGCGATATGTTGAGACGCTGAGGCACCGAAGCAAGTCAATGCATGTGCCAACAGATGCAGCGCACGCAACAGCAGCTATCTGATGGGGGCAGGTGCTACACATGTTCGTTTCTATATATATAAATATACATATATATATACATATATATATATATATATATATATATATATATATATATATATATATATACAGGCAAAGCCCGAGAGACAGATATATAGAGACACAGACAGAGACAGAGTTATTAGCCTGCAGCCATTCTATTGCAGTGTCAACATCCTCTGCTGACGTCCCCCCCCTACAACTGAATATTAGCAAGCTCTATAGCTAGCTGGCTAGCTAGCCAGCTAGCCAGCTAGCTAGCTAGCTAGCTAGCTAGCCCGTTGTGTGCGAACGACTAGCTACGGTTGAGGCCCAGGAAGGAGCATTTGCACCGGCGACTACATCTTCTTTGCTGAGGCCCCGCTATCGCTAGTACTGTGTTGGCTAGCTAGCTAGCTAGCTAGCTAGCTAGCTAGCTAGCTAGCTGTGTTGAGGTACTGGGGGTAGAGTCCGTCTATAAAGACGAAGTAAAAGTGTTTTCGATAAGTGTGTGTTGTTATGTGAGCTGCATTGTACAGCTTTGACTGTAGATACACCGCAAGCATGCACAGGTATAGCTCCCTATACACATGGAGAAAGGAGACAGAAACCCGAGGGAGAGCGGCAAGAACACAAACAACAAAAAACAAACAGCAGATGCAGCAGCGGCCAATGAAGACAGCTTGTTGCTGTCTTGCCGCTGCTCTTGCTGCTGCTGGGGATGCTAACAGCAATCCTCCTTATATATGCATGTATACATATAGATAGATACATTTATTATTTTATTATTTTATTTATACACTTATGTATATATATAAATCACATTATATATATATAGAGGGAGATATATATATATAAATATAAATAAAAACACATATATATATCTATATATTTAAGTATGTATATACTTACATACATACGTAAATATATAGATATATAGAGATATACACATAAACACATATATATATCTATATATTTGAGTATGTATATACTTACATACATACGTAAATATATAGATATATATATATAGAGATATATATATAGATATATATATATAAATATAAATACAAACACATATTTATATCTATATATTTAAGTATGTATATACTTACATACATACGTAAATATATATATAGATATATATATAAATATAAATATAAAAACACAAAACAGTATGCATGGGGGGCACATGCATACACAAGCATAATGAGATGAAGGCCGCTGTCTCCTGTCTCCTCAGTGTCTGCTTCGGCAGCCCAGTGTCTCCGTCTTTGTCTCCAGCTGCAGCAGCAGCAGCAGCAGCAGCAGCACCTGCTGCTGCTGCTGCTGCTGCTGTGGGAGA